GCAGAAAACTCAGTTTGGAACATTTATAAAAATATTTTTATCATCTATTAAAATTCCAAATGTGCCATCACCAAGGGCAAGTGAAAAATCATTGACTCCAGTAAGGCAGAACTAAAGGAAGTTCTGCAAGGGAAAATTGCAGGACACTGCACTGTCGAGAAATGTAAAGGACCTGAGATTTTACTCTACTTGCAACCTGACAAATTAAGTCTGCCACAGTTTCACTGTTGGCAGAAAAAGACAAAGCGTTTGTGTCAGAGACAAGGAGCTTAATTACTCATAGTATTAATACAATAGTTAGCATGAGCAACAGCATGTTTCATCAGTTTCCCCTTGCCTCAAGTCTTAGGGGGGCAACATGGATGGGCTGGGCTGGATCCAACCTCCTTGGCATCCCACAGCACAGGGATTACATCACACCCAGCCTCAATTTTCTTTATGATGCTTTTGATGAATGAAGCTCTTTACTGTAACTGGATTTATCAGTCTTTGGGATCTGTGATTCTTCCTGATTGTATATATATACTTTCCCATTCCATTGTCATAAAAATATTCTCCTATATTTTTTCCAAATTTAAAATTCAAGCTTTTTATTTATAACTTAATCCATTTTAGTGAACTTTTATATATGGTGTGAGGTAATAATCTAATTTTATTGTTTCCCTTTGAATATAATCACTTGTACAGCACTATTCCATTTCTGCAGTTCCATTTCATCATTCATACATTTCTATATAGGTACATGTTTCTAGATGGACTTTTCCTTCTGTTTCAGTTTATCTTTGGGTCAGTATAAAACTGTCTTAATTACTGTTGTTTAATAATAAGTATTTGGCATCTGAGTACTTCAAGATCTCTCATGCTCCTCCTATTATCTAGGAGTGTCTAGGCTGTTCTTGGTCATTTGCTCAGGTTTTATGAAAAACACTTTTGGGACTTTGACTGGAATTTTACTGTTAAGTATAGGAACAATTGGTATCTTTATAATGAGTCTTCCTAGTCATAAACAGGAAGTAATTTAAGTAATTTTCCATTTACTTAGGTATTTAAAATGTTTTTTAGGCTGGGCATGGTGGGTCATACCTGTAATCTCAGCACTTTGGGAGGCCAAGGCAGGTGGATCGCTTGAGCTTAGGAATTCAAGACCAGCCTGGGCAACATGGAGAGACCCCCGTCTCTACTAAAAATACAAAAAATTATATGGTTGTAGTGGTGCACACCTGTGGTTTCAGCAACCCAAGAGACTGAGGTGGGAGCACTACCTAAGCTTGGGGGTTGGAGGTTGCAGTGAGCCAAGTTCATGCCACTGTACTCCAGCCTGGGTGACAGAGCAAGACCTTGTATAAAAAAAAAAAAAGTTTTTTTATCTAATTGCATGTTAGTCCTGTACATGTTATGTTTATTCCATGATGCCTTATTGTTTATCATTTTAGTGGTATTATTATTTTTTCCTACTTTGGGGGACTAATGTATAGAAATACAAATGATTTTTGAATATTTTTATTATAGGCAACCACTTTCCTAAGCGCTTTTATTATGATTAATAAGTCAGTGGTTTTAAAATGTTTTCTTGGTAAATACTATCATCTGTATTGACAATTTTGTTCATATTTTTCTATTCTTTTCCCTTTCATTTTTCTTTTCTTATTTTGCTGGCTAGGACTTCCAGTGAAAATGTTGAATAGGAGTGGTGATAGGTGGCAATTTTCTCTTGTGTTTGATTTTTACAGGGAATACTTCCAGTATTTCTGCTTTCAGAGTATTTGCCAGTTTCTTGTATACAGAGCATATTGGGTTAAGAAAGTTCCTTCTCTTCCAGTTTGCCAGGTACATTGAATTTCAACAAATGTGTGTCCACATCTGTTGAGGTGATAATGTGTTATTTTATTCCTTTTAACCTATTAGAATGATAAATGGAATTTATAGATTTTTCTATTAAACCATGGTTATATTCCTGGGATAAACTCAACTTGCTCATAGTGTGCCATCTGTTTTATATATACTGCTAGATTTAGTTTGTTGAAGTTTTATTCTTTTTTTCCTCTATGTGAATGTGATTGGCCCAACAGTTTCCTTTCTTATATAACCCTTATCTGGTTTTGTTGTTAAGGTTTTACTTGTCTAATACAATTATTTAGGGGAAAGAATTACAAGAATTACTTCTTCTTCTTGGGGATACAGTTTAACCATATTGGAATCATCTGAATGAGTCCTGGCCACTGGCATTTGAAGTCACTTATGCTACTTCTAGGACTGGCTCAAAAATCTCTCATGCAGGATCTTAACTTAGAGGTAACAGGCTGAATGTGATGGTGGCACAAACAGAAGGATCCTGAGTGTCTGAATAACTAAACCTAATACAACACTTTCTGTCCCCTGGACAAAGCACATTAGATTACAAAATGCATAAGCAATAAACTTTTTGTGTCACTACTAAGGAACTTGGTACACCAGTTGAACCTCTGTGCATGGCCCAGTTCACATAAATTTAAAATAATAAGACTCACACCCAAAAAACCCTCTGCTCCAACTTCAGAACTGGGACATTGCAGTCCCTTTACGGTGTTTAGCTGGGTGCCTGGTTCTCCTCTAGAGTTTCTCCCAGCCATCTTTACCTCCTCTCATCCCATTGGTTAGCACTAGCCTGAAGTTTTTGTTTATCATTATGTTGCCTTTTTGTTTGCTTTGTTTTTTCTCTTACTTTTAAATATTTTTTAGAACAGTTTTAGTTTTCCAGGAAAACTGGTAAGAAAGTACAGAGAGTTTTATTGTAGACGCATGTTAAAAAACAGAGTTTGCACAAACCTCCTCTCCCTGACTACAAACACACGCACAGTTCCCCGCAATTATTTTCATCTTGCATTATTTTTTAGATGTACCACAGTAATGCAAGATGCAAATAATTGATATTGGTTTATCTGTTGTAACAGATGTACCACACTAATGCAAGATGCAAATAATGTATTATGATAGATTATTACTACAGTTCACAGTTTACATTAGTTCACTTTCTGTTCAGTAATTTTCAAAATGTCATTTGATTTTTTTTTTTGAGACAGAGTCTTGCTCTTGTTGCCCAGGCTGGACTGCAATGGCGCGATCTCAGCTCATTGCCATCTCTGCCTCTCCTGCTCAAGTGATTCTCCTGCCTCAGTCTCCCAGGTAGCTGGGATTATAGGTGCATGCCACCATGCCCAGCTAATTTTTATATTTTTAGTAGAGATGGGGTTTAATCATGTTGGCCAGGCTGGTCTCAAACTCCTGACCTCAGGCGATCTGCCTTCCTCAGCCTCCTAAAGTGCTGGGATTATAGGCATGAGTCATTGCGCCTGGCCTAAAATGTCATATTTCTTCTTTGACATATGAATTGTTTAGAAGCCTGTTTTAAATTTTGTAAATGTATGAGGAGTTTTAATTTTATTTTTGTTATCAATTTATAACCTAAATACTTTATAGTCAGAGAAGACTAGCTATATCATACTGATTTTTAAAATTTTATAGGGACTTACTTTGGTGTAGTATGTAATTATGTTTATAAATATCCCATGAGTGCTTGAAAAAGAATATGTATTTCCCGATTGTTAGTTTCAGAGTTCTATATTAGTTATGATGCCAAACTCACTGCTATTGTTCAAATCTCCTCTTGTCTTTTTGGTCTCCCTGATGTAGTAGTAATTGAGACAGACTATTTAAAATCTTCTTGTATAATCAACTTGCAAATTTATTCTCGTATTTCTCTTTGAAGCAATTTTACAAGTTGTAGTAAAGTTTAGAATTGTATCTACTTGAAGAAGTATAAACATTTATCATTCTTTAGTGTATTAGTCTGTTGTCACATTGCTATAAAGAATTACCTGAGACTGGGTAATTTATAAAGAAAAGAGGTTTAATTGGCTCACAGTTCCACAGGTTATATGGGAAACATGGCTGGGCAGGCCTCAGGAAACTTAAAATCATGACAGAAGGCAAGGAAGGAGGCAGGTCCATATGGTTGGAGTAGGAGGAAGAGAGAAGAGAGAGGTGTTACACCCCCTTTTTTTTTCTTTTTTATTGCATTTTAGGTTTTGGGGTACATGTGCAGAACATGCAAGACAGTTGCATAGGTACACACATGGCAGTGTGTTTTGCTGCCTTCCTCCCCTTCACCCACATTTGGCATTTCTCCCCAGGCTATCCCTCCCCAGCTCCCCCGCCCCGCTGCCCCTCTCCTATTCCCCCCAATAGACCCCAGTGTTTAGTACTCCCTTCCCCGTTAAACAACTAGATCTCGTAGGAATGCACTATCACGAGAACAGCAAGGAGGAAGTCTACCCCCATCCAGTCACCTCTCGCCAGGCCCCTCCTCCAAAATTAGGGGATTAAAATTCAACATGAGATCTGAGTGGGGACACAAATCCAAACCATGTGTATTCTTAATCATGCTTTTAAGTTTGTACTCAGCGTATTCATTTCTGAGAGCTACTGTAACAGAGCCAACAACTGGGTGGCTTAAAACAAATGTATTCTCTCACAGTTCTTGAGGCTAGGTATCTGAAATAAAGGTGTGGGCTGGACATGCTCCCTCTGAAGGCTTGAAGAAAGAATCCTCACTTGCTCTTCTGGCTTCTAGTAGTTTCTAGAAACCCTCAGCTTTCCTTCACTTGTTGACTCATCACTCCAGCCTCTGCCTCTGTCTTCATATGGCATCCTCCCTATGTCTCTGTTACTGTGTTCAGATTTTCCTGTTCTTATAAGGACACAAGTGATACTGGATTTAGGGCCTACCCTAATCCAGTATGACCTTTTTTTAACTTGATTACATCTCCAAAGCCCCTAATTCTAAATAAGATTATATATTCACAGGTTTCATCTGGACACAAATTTTGTCGGGGGGGATACTACTCTATCCAGTACAATCAACTATTAATGTAGCTGATGCAGGATATCTTGCTCCTTAGTTCAGTTAAATTGGAGTTCTTGTCACCCAATGAGGAAAAATTAGGCATGCGTACACACTGAAAGACGAGGAGGGCAGAATTTATTAAGTGAAAGTGTCTACTTGGTAGTTGTTTCTACTTGGTAGTCGAGAACAATCACCCAGCCAGCATTGTAACTCCTTTGTCTACTGAGTTAGAGGCATGAAAAGCCCAAAGTGGCTGAGGAGCAGTCTTAAACTTTCAGTTCAGTTAAATCATTATTGAGTCACTTAGTATAAAACATTCCACCCTATGTAAGCTCTCCACAAAAAAAGGGGTCCTTCTTGCAGGTTTTCCACCTCACAAATGGAATGCCAGGCCTCTCTCAGGCGCTGAAGAGGCATAGCTTCTTCCTTGCATAAGGCACAAATTCCTTGTGGCTCCATCCCATTCTTCCAGTGCATGTGCAGGTGCTTAGTCTAAGCCAGTCCACATTGATTTATTTCCCTTATTGCACATGTGTTGAGAAATGGAATTTTCCACATTGGGCATGTTTAGGCAAGCCACCTGTGCACAATGACCTGGGCAAGTTGGAGGTTCTCTGGGGACTCTTCCCTATTTGCCTAGGAATATGGCTGTCTCCCTTCTCTTTCACAGCTATCCATTTTATAGATTGGTCTAATATATCTTTTACCAGTACTACAAGAAAGTGGCTTACATGATTATGGAGGCTAAGTGGTCCCATGATCTGTCATCTATTAGCTGGAGACCCAGGAAGGTCTGTGGTATAATTCAGTGTGAGTCCAAAGGCATGAGGACGAGGGGAGCCAATGATATAAATCCATCTGAGGGCAGGAGATGAGATGTCACAGCTCAAACAGTGAGGCAGGAAGGAAAAAAAAGGGTGAATTCTTCCTTCCTCTGCTTTTTATTCTATTTAGACCCTCAACAAACTGGATGATGCCCATCCACCTTGGGGATGGCAATCTCCTTTACTGGGTCCCCCAATTCAAATGTGAATCTTCTTTGTAAACACACTCAAGACACTCCGGAATAATGTTTAAACAGATATCTGGCACCCTGTGACTATTCAAGTCGACATATAAAATTAACCATCACAAGTCTGCCCTTGTCAATTTGGCACCCATACACATCTCCTTATACCATACTTAATTGGCACATAAAGATAATAACAAGGTCATAATTCCATCTAACAGGATTAACAATCCAGCATTCTACCCAAGACACACTAACCCATTTCCCAGAAGAGGAGGTAAAGTCTTCGTGTGATGTTTACTCTCTCTTTGATATCCCATAACTTAAATACTATGATATAAAATTAATCAAGGTTGAGCATTGGAGCCAATTTAAAAAATTAACAATATTTAAACACTATGATATAAAATCAATGCATCTTATGTTACAGAATAAGGAAATGATAAGAAAGAAGACAGCTATACACACAAAATGTCATAGCAAAATATGGAGGACATTCTTTTCACAATCACAATCTGTGTTTCTGTGACTGGTTATATGATCAAAGCTGGTATTTCTTCCACCACTTATTCTGTATTCTCTTTGCCTTCAGCAAGCACCTCATCTGGTCATGGTACTTACCCGGTGGTGACCCAAACCTTGATTTCTGAAAGGCCTGGGTCATCAGCAGTTCTGTCTGGATTAGGCTGTAGTTTTCCACTGACCTTAATCACAGGGCATGGTAACACTAAGAGATGCCCTAAGGAATCTCCTGTATTCCTGACATACCTTTCCTTGCCACTACTAGGGCAGCAGTCCAGTTTCTACCTGGTAATCAGGAACAATTACCCAGCCAGCACTATAACTCCTTTGTCTATTGAGTTAGAGACATTAAGAAGCCCAAATTCGCTGAGGAGCAGTCTTAAATTTCCAGTTCAATTAAATCATTATTGTGTCTCTTGGTGGAAAACATTCCACCCTAGGTAAGACTTCTAGGCCAGCAGAGCATAAGTCATAGGAAGAGGAAGCAAAAATTTTGCTAGTGGGTCAGTAGGACTAATGGTGACCCTTCTATTTTGACCCCTTGATTCCTGGACCTGTGAATCCCGGTCATAAGAGAAACGCATCATGTACTGGATGCTGATTCAGAGCACAGACAGCCTTCTAGAGAACCTTGTCCCAGCCCTACAAGACACTGCTATATAGCTGGTGCCAGTACTGTCTTCAAAATGCTATTCCACTGCTCTATGTAGCCCGCTGATTCAAGATAGTAGGGAACATGGTAAGACCAGTTAATTCGACGAGCATGGGCTCATTGCCACACTTATGCTGCAAAGTGAGTTCCTTGCAATGCTGTGTGGAATACCATGGTCTTAGATGAGGCATTCTGTAAGTCCATGGATGGTAGTTTTAGAAGCATCGCATGAAGGAAAAGCGAATCTGTATCCAGATAAGTTCTATTTCAGTAAGGACAAAACTATCCCTTCAACAGTGGAAGTGGATCAATGTAATTAACCTGCCACCAGGCAGCTGACTGATGACTCTGGGGAATGGTATCATATCAAGGGCTCAGTGTTGGTCTTTTGCTGGCACACTGGGCACTCAGAGGTAGCCTTGGCCAGGTCAGCCTTGTGAATAGAAGTCTGTGTTGCTGAGCCCATGCATAACCTCTATCCTCGTCACCATGGCTACTTTGCTCATGAGACAATTGGGTGGTGACGGGTGGCTGGAGAAAGAGGCCTACTGGTATCCACAGAATAGGTCATCTTGTCTACTTCATTAAAATCCTTCTTTGCTAACCCTTTGGTGAGCATTTACATGGGGCACAAATACCTTCACTCTTTTTGCCCATTCAGTGTCTATCCACATACCTCATCCCAAATTTGTCACCAACTTTTCAGTTATGTTCAACTCCCTGACCATCCAACAAAACTATTGGCCGCAGCCCATGAATTGGCATATAATTGAATATCTGGCCATCTTTCCTTGTAAGCAAAGTCAACAACCAGGGGGGCTGCTCAAAGTTCTGTCCACTGGGAGGATTTCCCTTCATCACTGTCCTTAAAGATGGCCCAGAGATGAGCTGTAGTGCTGCAGTTGTCCACTTTTGGGTGGTAGCTACATATCATATAGAACCCTCTGTAAACCAGGCCTAAGTCTTCTCTTTCTCTGTCAGCTGATCATAGGGAAGTCCCTATGAAGCCACAGATGCAGGCTGAAAGAGAGAACGTTCTGCAGGGAGCCTAAGTGGGGACTATGGAAATTTGAGCTACTTCTTCATGTAACTTACATGTGCCTTCAGGGCCTGCTCGGGCCCTGCTCGGGCCCAGTCATGTGTATACCATTTCCATCTGATGATGGAGTGTTGCTGTGCTCATCCAACTTTGTGTGTTGGTGGGCCACATGACATCCAGTTCATGATGGGCAGCTCAGGTTGCATGGTAACTTGGTGACTCATAAAGTATCAGTCTCTACTAAGGCCTAATAGTGGGCCAAGAGCTGTTTCTCAAAAAGAGACTACTTATCTGTGGGTAATAGCAGGGCTTTGCTCTAAAATCCTAAACCATGATTCACCTATAGAAACCTACAGAAGCTTCAAACAGCATCCGTATCTGCCACTGCCACTTACACACCACTGGATCTGCTGGATCATATGGTCCAAGGGGCAGAGCAGCTTGCACAGCAGCCTGGACCTGTTGCAGAGAATTTTCTTGTTCTGGGCCCTAGTCAAAACTAGCAGCGTTTTGAGTCATTTGGTAAATGGACCAGAGTAACCTAACGAAACTGGAAAATGATGCCTCTAAAACCAAAACAGGCCCACTAAGTATTGTGCCTGTTTTTTAGCTGCAGGAGCAGCAAGATACAACTACTTATCCTTCACCATAGAGGAAATATCTCAACATGCTCCATGTCACTGGATCCCTACCAATTTCACTAAGCTAGAAGGTCCTTGAATTTTAGTCATATTTATTTCCTACCCTCTGATGCCAATGTCTTTCTCCTATGTCTAGTGTAGTTTCTACTTCTTGCTCACTAGGTCCAATCAGCATAATGTCATCATGTAACAAATCAGTGTAATAGTCTGTGGAAGGGAAAGGCAATCGGGATCCTCCTGAACTGAATTATGACGCGGGGTTGGAGAACTGACATGCTGGAGATACGACAATTAAGGTGTATTGCTGGCTCTGCCTTCTGAAAGCAAACTGCCTTTATTGACTGGTATGACAAAAAAAGACATTTGCCAGGTCAATTCCATTGCCTACTAAATAATGCTGAAATATTTCATACATAACTCATATTTAAAATGCATATTATAAATATACATATTTAATTGTACTTGTGCAAATAACTCTATAGAGAGTAAAAAGGAATGTTTCACCTTTGTACCTTGTTTTAATGAGAAATTTCTGGCAAAATTCCTTGTTAACTAATGAATGACGTCAGTGTCAAAATATGCTAAATGTATTCAGTTTCCAGTGGCTCTGGGCACACATTGTATGCTAGGACCTGGTGAACTTGAGGACTGAAAGAATTTCTTGGCCTGCTTGTCTGGAAAGTGCAGTGGTTCCTTGTAGACCTTTTGTCTTCATTATTTTCAAAATTTCTTCTAAAATATCAAAAGGTAAAATCCATTAAGTCATTTGGTAGTGTGCATGATCACTAAGCAATTTAATAAGATGATAAACACAGATGATTTGTAAGTTGTATTCATCTGACAAAACAACGTGTATCAGATAAATGTCTAGTAAAGCTAACATGGTCTTCAGCTAGATGGGAGCACTTTGTATTTTCCAAGTGTTGCTGGTAATTGTAATCAGAATGAATGGCTTGCTTTGCAATCATGGCCTATTTTAGGCCCAGCGGAAACATTAATCGTCCTTGTTGTTATAGCAAGTGATCAGTTTTTTTAGTTGCTTGGCTCCAATCTCTGCCCTATATCTTTCTCTTTGGATGACAAAAGCCAGTGAAAGTGTGGACAAACTGAATAGTGACATTGCACAATGAGAGTGAAAGTAGTAGCTTATTTCTTTCTTCCTTTTTTAAATAAATAAAACTAAGAAGATCTTTCTTCCTTTTATAAATAAATAAAACTAAGATCTTTCTTCCTTTTATAAATAAATAAAACTAAGAAGACTGAACTAAGAAAATAAAGAAAGAAGGAAAGAAAAGGAAGAAAGAGGAAGGGAGGGAGGGAGGGAGAGAAGGAAGGAAGGAAAGAGAAAGAAATGCAAGCAAGAGAAAACTAGCAATCATGTGATTTGAAAGGCTGAGGATTTCTAGTATAATCTAAAAATCAAACGAGATGTACAGAAAAAGAAAAATTATCGTAAATTTAGTTATAAAGCAATATGAAACAAAGATATAAAAATCTATACAATAAAATAGCTTTCATGATAAAACTCCAGACGAACTAAAGAGTACAGCACATTGTCAAGGGCATTAAGACTAGAAGGTAGAGAGAAAATTCATAATACTGACAGTGAGAGGTATTTGAAGAAAAATTAGAGATTTTTGTACTTGAATATTTGGTTATTAATGGGGAAAAGAGAAGACAATACTTTTTAAAATCAGAAAAATTTACTTCTAAAAACCTCTTTTCTCTTTCACATGAATTTACATCTGTATTGGCTACTGTCAGTGATTAACTGTTTTAAGTGATTCATTAACATGCCATGTTATCTTATAAATTATAGTATTTCACATTAATAAGTTTTGATTTCAGCAACGTAAATACTTAGACAATAAACTGGTCTGTATTACCTGGGTTGTTTTGTTTAATGGTAACTAAATAGAATAATCCTCTTGGTGAAAGGAGATCTGAAACCAGGGGAAAAAACCTGTCCATGACTTCCCGACCATGTCTGCCACCAGCCCAAGCTGCTTCTATTCCGTGACTTCCTACCTGTGAACAATTAGAGTTTGATTTAGAGCACAAACTGAATCTTCTTGACAAGTAATATCACCAAACAAGTATATATTTTGCATTTTACTGCTGACTAAGGAGCAGTAAAGTTGAATCTAAGTTTCATCATTTTCTAGCGTGTAACCATGGATAAATTAGTAATCGTGTTTGTGAATTACTTTCCTCCTTTATCTGTGAAATTAGAAAATAAAATAGTTCCTTCCATATGTACAATCAGAAAAATAATAAAAGATTTTTATCCACTGTTAGGAATAAATGAAGAAGTATATTTAAAGTTTTTAGAACACTGCCCTGCATATATCAAGGGCTTAGTAATAGTTATTACTGTTAATACAATGCTTAAATTGAGAGATTTGAGGAGCTTTTATATTTAATATAGAAAGAAGCTAGAAGGAAGAGCTTGTATTATGAGACCTACTGTACAGAAACAAAGTTTCAAAGTGTCCCAATGCATTTGGCCCTCTTGTAGATTAAAGTGTGAAACACATAGACCTTTTCTAAGGAACCCATTTCTTATTATACATTATATAAAGGCATACTGAAGCATGTTTCCTCTAACAATCTAATTATATTTTAGAAACAAAATCCATGAGAGTTTATACAGTATTTAGATCCTTATCATTGTACGTTTGCTTTCTCTTTCTCTCTCTCTCTCTCTTTTTCTTTCTTTTTTCTGTCTGTCTGTCTCATCTGTCACCTAGACTGGAATGCAGTGTTATGATCATGGCTCACTGCAGCTTCCACCTCCTGGGCTCAAGTGATCTTCCCACTTCAGCTTTCCAAGTATCTAGGACTACAGGTGCAAGCCAACATGCCTGGCTAATTTTTAAATTTTTTTGTAGAAATGGGGCTCTCACTATGTTGCCCAGGTTGGTCAAGAATTTCTGGCCTCAAGTGATCCTCCTAGGTCAACCTCTCTAAGTGTTGGGTTATTAGACATGAGCCACCACCATGACTGCTCTATTGTGTATTATTTTCTTTTTTTCTTCCTTTTTCTTTTTTTGAGATGGAGTCTTGCTTTGTCACCCAGGCTGGAGTGCAATGGCATGATCTCAGCTCACTGCAACCTCTGCCTCCCAGGTTCAAGAGATTCTCCTGCCTCAGCCTCCTGAGTAGCCAGCTGAGATTACAGGCATGTGCCACCACACCCAGATAATTTTTGTATTTTTAGTAGAGGTGAGGTTTCACCATGTTGGCCAGGCTGGTCTCAAACTCTTTTTTTTTTTTGGAGACGGAGTTTCGCTCTTGTTACCCAGGCTGGAGTGCAATGGCGCGATCTCAGCCCACCGCAACCTCCGCCTCCTGGGTTCAGGCAATTCTCCTGCCTCAGCCTCCTGAGTAGCTGGGATTATAGGCACGCGCCACCATGCCCAGCTAATTTTTTGTATTTTTAGTAGAGACGGGGTTTCACCATGTTGACCAGGATGGTCTTGATCTCTTGACCTCATGATCCACCTGCCTCGGCCTCCCAAAGTGCTGAAATTACAGGTGTGAGCCACTGCGCCTGGCCTTGTATATTATTTTCAAGATTAAAGAATGTTTTGAAGGTGTCACTCAGAAGTTACTTTAACCCTAACACAACATTTTCTCTTGGGTCCTATGTCCATATTTTAGTTTAAATTATTTTTACACAATAGTGCCTTCTATTTATTCATTTAATATAGCATATATTTCCTTATTAAAAATAATTCCTTTATAGCTAAACCTTATACACGTATACCTTTATGAAGAAGAGAAATGTTTACATACCTGCTTTTAAAAAGCCACATCTGTAAGTTGAACAGAGCTTGAAGAAAAAAATGCCACGTTTTGATTTTACTGTTTTGTCTGTCTGCCTTTCCCCTATCTTCTACTACACACATAGGTTTTTCTTTTTTGCCATGTTTTACAAAGACAGGATGTACACTTACTAGCATCTAGCTTTTCTCATTCACCAGTGCTTTATAAATCTTCTATCGTTTGCTATAGTTCTAACTCATTCTTTTTTCTTTTTTGCTATTAATCATGCCACATTATTTTTAATTATGTACAAAGATCTAATGTCACCCAGGGACCATTTCACCCACTGCTCTGTTTGGCCACCAGCCTTGTCTCTCTCTTCGGCAATGGTGAGGTGGATACTCTTTCCTCGGTTTAAGAGAAATCCATGGTTTGCTGCTCTTGCCAATAACAAAAACACTGGAAAGTCAAGTGGCAAAGCTGTTGGCATTAACATGTTTCATGTAAACCATGTCAAAAGATCCAGGGTGCCTCTCTCTGTTGGTGACCACATCAATTCTTCCCAGGTTAGCACCTCCAGTCACCATGCACAGGTTACCACATCAAACTTGATGAAATGAGTAATCTTGCCAGTCTCTAAATCAATCTGAATGGTATCATTCACCTTGATGAGGGGATCAGGGTAGCAGATGGTGTAAGCATCATGTGTCACCAGATGAGGGATTCCCTTTGTGCCCACAAAGATTTTTCTCCCTTTGCAAAACTTGTACTTGGCCTTCTCAGGTGTAATATGATGTACAGCAAAGCGACCCTTGGTGTCACAGATCAGACGGAAATTCTCTCCCTTCTTGTCAATGCTGATGACATCAACAAAGATTCTGAAGATTAAAGATCATGGCCAGATCATCTTCAATGTTTCAAAACCCTGTTTTTATGACTACAGAAAATTCATAAGTGAATCGAGGCCGGGTGTGGAGGCTCACACCTGTAATCCCAGCACATTGGGAGGCCAAAGCAGGTGGATAACTTGAGGTCAGGAGTTCAAGACCAGCCTGGCCAATGTGATGAAACCCTGTCTCTACTGTAAATTCATTCTTTTAAGAGCTATATAATATTTTCCAGGAGAAAAGTTACATCTTAGTTGGCTGTTAAGGGGCATTCACTAGGTCCATTTGCTTAATTTTTTTTGACTCTGATTATTCCCACACCTATCATAAGCTTCTCAATACAATTTTCCACAAAGTGAATCATATTAGGAAATGTATCATTTCCTCTGTTTTTCTTTAAGACTTTCCATCTGAAAACTTCCTTTTCCTGGCATTCTCTCTGCTTTTCTCCTGGGCTAAACTCCCTATTTGTGCTGCTGGCACAAATCAACAGCATCTAATTTCATGTTTCTGGATATATTAGTAAGTATAGCCACAGCTTGTTATAAACACAAACTCTTATTATTTGTATATAATGTTTCCTGGATCTAATCTCTGAGTCTCTTTTACCTTTTTGAATTCTTCTCCATATTTTCATGCTCTGTGCACTGAAATCTTTCTTTCATTGGGTTTCCAGACCACTGATTCAGGTCTTCACAGTGATCACATTCTTTTTTAATTTACTGCCTAATGTTTTACTGTATAAAACATATTTTGAAGCTCCAAGACATCTTTGCTGTGTTGTATTTTGATCCTGCTTTCTAGCTAATTGCGCAGCTCATGAGAATATGACAGTTTTTCACTCCTTTGGAACAGCAGAAAAGCCCAAGGCACTGCCTACACTCAATCATCTATATGTCCCAGTAGCTGTAAGGCTCAGAAGCACTAGGCTAGAAACATGGAAGAAAGGAAACCCATTCAGGTCACCATGTTCCCAGAATCTCCTTTTCATTGATTAGTCTTCCCACCAGTTTGATAATGCTTTTCTAGAGAGCTTCATTAAGCTGCATTTCCCTCAACTGCTGTTCACCTTATGACTTCCTTGTCATATGAGTTCATCAGCAGCAGAGCAATAGCTTCTTCACTGTTTAACTGCCATCAGTAGCAACAGTAGTCAAATGAATCTTTCCCATCTTGGTGTTGAGGTGAATGTAATGTTTACCAGCCTTGCCAGGGAATAATTATCAAAGAATAAAAAACATAATAATGAAAGGAAAGCGAGTCTTAGCCCATTATTAAACTTTGACCATTCCTGGGAAAAGATTAATGTTGTTTACCTCTTCATCACTGAGATTTAAAAAATTAATATATTTCAAGATTATTTCTTTTCCCTATCTGAAATGAGAATTGGTTCCACTCTTCCACTTTTTAGAAATACCTGAGAAAGTAGGAAACCTGAAACGTTCAGAAGGAATTCCCACGTGAATTTAACGTTGGTTAAAACATTTTTTTTTTTTTGAGACGGAGTCTCACTCTGCCAGCCAGGCTGGAGAGCAGTGGCCAGTCTTGGCTCACTGTAACCTCCGTCTCCCAGGCGCAAGAAATTCTCCTGCCTCAGCCTCCTAAGTAGCTGGGATTCCAGGTGTGTGCCACCACGCCTGGCTAATTTTTATAATTTTAGTAGAGACGGGGTTTCACCATGTTGGCCAGGATGGTCTTGAACTCTTGACCTCAGGTAATCTGCCCGCTTTGGCCTCCCAAAGTGCTGGGATTACAGGTGTGAACCACCACACCCAGCCAGTTAAAACATTTTGTTTTGTAAATTTTTTTATTCATGATAAAGGATATAATATATATGTACATATATAGTCAAATATATGAATATAAACTCCATGGCCTGATTTGAATGTGATTTTTAATGATAAATATGTATCATAGTTTGTATTTCCATCAAAGGTTCCTTTCCTCGGTCTATTAATAGGACCCAATTGCTGACAATTAGGAGTAAAATCAGAGTAGTCTGTGATAGTAGCAGCTGACTGACGTCATAGACTGTCATTCATTTGATTTTACAAACAAAATAATTGAAAATATTAATAATTACATTTTGTTGTATGTTTTACCTCTTCAGACGGAGTCACTACATAGGGGGGGTTAAACACCAGAAGATCAACTTTTTCCTTCAATCTTGGTAGCAAGCCTTTAACCTAAATGTATTCAACAGTGAGAATTTTACATTAAACTCTGAATTAAATAATTGATAAATCAATCTTTAAAAATCATCTCCCATATTTTTGGGAAAATAATGTGTTGGGGCTGCACTTGTGGAGAGAAATGAAGTTAAATATTTTTAAATTTTCACTCAGATAAATAATATATGCAATTAAATAAAAATATGAAAATTAGACTATTTATCAGAATGAATATAAAAAGCCTGTACTCCTCAACAGCATATATATTTATACTCTGGGTTCACGTTTAGAAGATGAAATAAGGAAGCAAACTCTAATTCTGTATAATCAATATAGACCTGGATACAAGTTTGCAAGTATATTTGCTAATATTTTCACAATTTTCCCATGTCTCTACATATACCTACTATAATTTACTGGATATTGTTCTATAATTTCTTCTATCCCTGGTGTTTCACCATTCTATCAAAAACACTTAATACTAATTATGGACACATTAAAGACATTTTAGGCCAGGCTTGGTGGCTCACCCCTGTAATCCCAGCACTCTGGGAGGCTGAGGTGGGTGGATCACCTGAGGTCAAGAGTTTGAGACCAGCCTGGCCAACCATGGCCAACATGATGGAACCCAGTCTCTACTAAAAATACAAAAACTAGCCAGGCGCAGTGGTGGGTGCCTGTAATCCTGGGAGGCTGAGGCAGGAGAACTGCTTCAACCCAGGAGGCAGAGGTTGCAGTGAGCTGAGATTTTGCCACTACACTTCAGCCTGGGTGACAGAGTGAGACTCTGTCTCAAAGAAAAAAAAAAAGAAAGAAATTTTTAAAATTAAAAAAAAATCACCCCATGAATCTCATGTAAATCACTGGAGTGCCTGTCTTGATTCTCTAGTTTTTATTAGCAGTAACAACTTATAATAATATGAAAATAATTTCTTATCTCTTTAGTGTAATTCCTTCTAAGGTACAAAATCATTTGTAAATTAAAAAAAAAAAAAACAGGAAAGCTACCCTCATCATAAGAAAAGTGCAGGTTAAGGAACACAGAAGTATTTTGTATTTCATATGTCTACCTGATGCATGCTATTATTATTTTTGCCTATAAAAAGGTATATCACACATATAAATTAAAAACCCACAAATTTAAAATTAACTTACTTATATAAAATATTTTAACAACTGCCGCTTGAAAATGTGTGATGTTAACTTCTTACAATGATGGTTGTGCAGTTCTACTGAGGACCCACTGCCCCTTTCTACTGAGGACCCACTGCCCCTTTCTACTGAGGACCCACTGCCCCTTTCTACTGAGGACCCACTGCCCCTTTCTTCTGATTTAATTTCCTTGACTTTTGTTAGGGAAGCTCTACCTCCCATCATTCTTGATCTAAGTGGCCTGAGCAGGGTTTATCCCAACCCAGCTCCTGGGATGGGACTGTGAGCCAGGTTGAAGCCAATCATCTCCATACTCAAATCTCCTTTGGCCACAGCAAAAGGTTGAGAGATAGGCACATAATCCAAGTTGATCCAAATAATACTCATCTGGGGCCTCTTCCAGAGTAACTGAATAGAAAGGGATTCTTTCCTTGGGAAGTCGCTGAGAAATAAGATATAGATATGCCAACATCTTGTTACCATGAAGGGAAAGACTGCCTAGGAATAGAACCACCAGAAAGAAGTTCAGAGATAAGAAAAAGATGTCTACAACATTATTTGAATTCCTGGAAGTAGCTGTGCTGAAGCCATCATTTTCTTTTCTTTTCTTTTCTTTTTTTTTTTTTGAGACAAGGCCTTGTTCTGTCCCCCAGGCTGGAGTGCAGAGGCATGATCATGGCTCATGGCTTATGGCAGCCTCGACTTCCCAGGCTCAAGCGATCCTCCCACCTCAGCCTCCCAAGTAGCTGGCACCACAGGTGTGCACAACCACACCCAGGTGTTTTTTTTAATTTTTATTTTTTGTAGAAATGAGGTCTTACTATATTGTACATGCTGGTCTTGAACTCCTGGGCTCAAGCAATTGTCCTGCCTTGGCATCCCAGAGTGCTGGGATTAAAGGCATGAGCCTACACCTGGACTAACTTTTTGTATTTACGTCAGTTTGAACTGGGTTCACTGTCACTTCTGACTAAAGAAGCCTGATTCACATAAGTTAATATAAATTCCTTTTGAATTGTGGAAAAGATGGATTACATCAATGAAGAATTACATTGTATGGGGTATGGGGTATACTTTTTAGTGGGTCAAAAGTTAATTACTTACCAAAGTATCTTTGTCCTAAAACATCTTAACCTTATTTGAACATAAAATTATCATTGGACAAAGATTAATAGCTTACCAAATCTGTAATAACTGGTTGAATGTGGACTCCGTTACAGCGTGCTGTCTCTAGGGTACAAGCTGCTGCCTCAGGGTTGACATCAGTGCACCTATAAACAGAAATGGAAGGAAACTATATCCTATGTCCACAAGGCAAATCTGTTACTGAATAATTTCAAGGGATGCTCCATTAATTCTACCCAGAAGAGATTTAGAAAAAAAATAGAATGCTTTCAATAATGGCAAAGAAAAAGAGAACAAGGATTTGTTCAATTGATGAAAAAGACTGCTATACTGATACAATGTCCAAGAGTAGAAGAATGCAGATACATGCACACACATCTGAAGGAATTTATGAAATTCTGATACATCCAATGAAGGAGTAATATGTAGTCACCAAAAATGAAATTTGAAAGGAATTTTTGATAGGAAAATGCTTATTAGAGAAAATTAAATTAAAAACATAGGAAATGAAAAAAAAAAAGAAGGAAACACAGTTGGACTATGTATGGTAAAATTTACAGGTGATTTTAATTTTCTTCTTTATACTTTTCTATATTCTCTAATTTTTCTATAAATAAATTTAAGCAACTTTAAATTTCTTATAATTATCAAATTATTTACCTAAGAAACAAATCAAATTTAGAGATGATCTAAAATTATGCTGCTTCTATAATTATGCTGTATGATGGAGCAGTTTGAAACATGAAGTAATAATCTTTAGAGAAGCATAATCTGTAATCTGGGTTCTTACTACACTTAAATACTATAAGATACATAGTGTTTACTTAAAAATTATTTCATTCGAGTTATCATAGTTAACCTGTCAGTGGAAGATCTACATGAATATGATATACTTACATGTACAAAGCCTGAGGACCTATCATAGAGGCTAGGAATGCAGAAACTACACCAGACCCTGCCCCTACTTCCAGGCATATTTCCACTCTAAAAAAAAAACCAAAATAAATATTATTACAGTAGAATCAAAATACTCTTAACAGAAAACTCTTGTGCTAGTTTTATTTCTAGCATGTATATTTCTCTAGCATCATCACTCACTTGCAAATATACAAAAACAGAAAGGAAATTCATAAGCTCTGACAACTACTTTGTACTTAATATTGTGTAACTCAAAATTATTACTATTTTGAGTATGTTATATTAAGTCCATAAAAGTTATATATTACCAAACATGGCTTTCAGTTAATTTCAACAAATCATTACATTAAAAAGTATTGAAAAATGTTACTCTAGGGTTGGAAATATTAATATGAAAGACATCATTCCTTCACACAATAAGCTCTTAGCTTAGTATTTCCTAAAATGGTAGGGTTTGTATTATTACAAAATTTATTTTTGAAAAAAGTACCTCTATCTTTTAATACCTAACATTCATAGAGCCGTATATCCTAGAGAATTAAAATGTCCCCTAATAATAGACTTAGAGCAGGACAAGAATTCCTTTTCTGTACAGCTATATGCTAATTGGGAAAATTGTATCTGCTGCTTTTCAAATGTTAACCATCTTAGAATGCTGTTAACTATAAAATCTTCATTCTACTGTATTTTATCTTTCCATTAAATTTATTTTCTTGACTATAATCTTGGAAGTTGTTTCTTTTTTAGAGACAGCCTCTTGCTCTGTCACCTAGGCTAGAGTGTAGTGGTGCCACCATAGCTTACTGCAGCCTTTAACTCCTGGGCTCAAGTGATCCTCCCACCTCAGCCTCCCAAGTAGTTAGGACAACCACAGTGCCAGGCCTGTATAATGTTATACATGCATCAAAAGCATAAATTATCCCCATTACAAGATCAGCTTGATGGCATTTAGGGAAATTTTTAGCACTAAACTCCCCAAATAACTACCCAGCAACAAGCTCCAGAGGTTTTAAACTTTTGGAACCAGTCTGCACATCTGACAAGTCTTTACTAGGTGGTAGTAAGGTCTGTGAATCTCACCAGGTGGCTTCTCTTTGAAAATAACTATCATGGTCTCATAAATAATTAGAATTCCAGGACTAGAAATAACCCAAGGCTTTATAACCAAATCGGTTCCTTTTACAGCATATTTTGCAGTGCAGTTTGTGCTCGTAAATCTTTCTGGGCTATCTAGAGAAAAAAAGACAAGTTATAAAACAGTCCTGTTCCACTCTGTATTCCAGTAAATCCAAACGTTCCATCATCTACAATGAAAGACAAGTTTAATAAGAGCTGGGGCATTTTATACGTGGAAAAATAGGACCAAATTTAAGAGGGATAAATAAATACAATATAGATCTTTGAAACCTGACAGCTGTTTGTTCCATGCTGAGGAAATCCAGTTCAAGTCTTATCTTCAAACAAATCTAACAACTCAAATTCCTTGGATTTAAAAATCACAACGTCAGTATTCATTCTTTCTGCTATTGATTTAAAATAGATGGCGATCACTTCAACAAATCCATTGAAATCGTTGTAAAGTGCTAGGGTAGACTATGATCTGCTAGCAGCATGTAACTTTTTAAATTTTTTTGGTAACAATTAAATGAAAAATTCCTCATTATCACTAGCCACACTTCAAGTGCTCTGTAGCCACATGTGAGGACTGGCTGGTGATAGACTATGCTATTCGATGGGTTTAAAAATATTTCCCCACTCCAGTAACATAACTTTCTTTCATGTTTGGGTCCTTCCATTGCTAGAGGGTGCTTTCTATGTGCTGAGTAACTCAATACCACGAAATTTCAATATTTAATGCTTTAAAAATTAATATCAATAAGCAATGTTTTCAGAACACTTTGTTTCCAAACGTGTTACACTACCGCTTCTCTCAGGGACTGGTGTTCTTCAGATTAACATGTGACAGGAAAAGGTACGTCTTTGCATGGTATCGGGAGCTCGAAACCAGAGCAGCTGCCTGGCAAAGGAGATGTGTCCTCGGCACACTCATTACTTGTATCCACAGGAAAATACTCAGTTAGGGCGTCCTGCTGTCAATCATCTGCAAGTGGACCCCGCCTCCTCCGGCTCAGGGCGGCGACAACCACCGTCCCAGTCCTCCGCCATCGCCACTTCTTCAGAACGCCCCAGCCCTCTCCCGTCAGAGCCCCATCCCTCCTCGCACCCTGCCAGCTCGGCAGCCGCTGCCTCGAGCACGTCCAAAAGCAGGAACGTGTCCTCCGCGGGCTCGTACACGTCGCTGAAGGTGCCGCGGCCCACGTGTCCGTGCAATGGCGTGGGGAAACTCAGGGCTGCCATCTTCCTGCGGTGCGTCCCACGAGCCTGCGCCAGGCTCGCGCATGCGCACGCCTTCGGTCACAGGCCTGGGAAGCGGGGTGGGGTTCCGGGGGACCAGTGTGTTCTTGAGTGTTAATTCTAAATTTGTCTGTGGCCCTCCTTGAAATTTCTAAGTAGACAGTTGTATAATCTATTACCATTGACATTTGCATTCCTTTTTTGAACATTTAAATTTTATTCTGTGAACTAGAACCTGATAGTGTACATTCTGAGTTGTTTTTGACTAAGGTGAATGTTCTTTCTTCATTCTAATGATGTTTGGAAATTCTGTTTTATTCCTAGTTTACAAGGATTTGAAAAAATATATAATAAATTTTACTATTTTTTTTTTTGTCAGCTGAACTTTAAGCTTTACACTATACAGATGAAGACTTTTCTCATTTGATTTTTTACTGTACTTTATATAAATTGCCTTCCTGAGGAATCATGAATGCACTCCTTTTATAAACCTCACTCAAGCAAGATGATGTGGTTTAATACACTGCTGAATTTGGGAGGTTAATAATCTGGCTCTGATTTTTTTATCACGATTATGCTATCCTCATTGTATTAGTTAGGACACTGTTTCTGGAACATTAGGTAAAAAACCATAAAACTGGCTGGGCTTGGTGCCTTTTGAATGGATGGATCTTTGATGTGTTGGAACATCTTCTATAAGTTATTAGACTATTCAGGTATTTGCATTCTTTTTGAGTCGGTTTCTGGTTTGTTCCAATGAAACATTTTTACAGCTAGTTTTTTACATTTGAGAAATAAAAATACAGAAAAGTATTTGGGTCACAAATTTAATTTAATTTATTTATTTGGAGACAGACTCTTGTTCTATCCCCTCAGTCTGGAGTTCAGTGGCGATCTTGGCTCACTGCAACCTCTGCTTCCCAGGTTCAAGCAATTCTCCTGCCTCAGCCTCCCGAGTAGCACCTGCCTCCACACCGCGCTCATTTTTGTATTTTTAGTAGAGACGGGGTTTCTCCATGTTGGCCAGACTGGTCTCAAACTCCTGACTTCAGGTGATCCACCTGCCCCAGTCTCCCAAAGTGCTGGGATTACAAGGCGTGAGCCTGTAATGTGCCCAGCCAGGTTACAAATTTTAAAACCCTGAGTTTTAAACCCAGAAATGACAGTATTTTATCATGCTTTCTCAAAATATTTTTTAAATACAAGAACTAAAATATTACAAATGAAATCAGTGTTCTTTCTCTACTTGTTTATTTTAAATCGGTCTCATTGCTATTTAATGTTAGGAATGTGTTCATTTGTTTCTTTCTTTGTAAATTATTCATTTTTGATTATTTTACCTTAAGTTTTGTCTTTAGTTTGTGAAAGTTGATAAATAGTTTAATAGGGCAAATAGTTCTACGTAATTTACTGTGAAAAAGCAGCATTTTCTAGCACCCAACATCCAATTTCTCTTCAGAAGACCACCTTCAACTTTTATCTGTTTCTTTTGTCATTCATTTCCATATCTCTGTATACTAACCTTATAATAGTACTTCATATTTAAACATTAAGCATTATCTATAGAGTTTCTATGACTGGAAGTAAGAATAATTCTCCTGTCTCTAATAAACACGTACAGTTGCCAGTCCCCTGCTCCCTTTCTTCACAACCATGGTACCATGGTTTGTTTTTTTTGAGATGGAGTTTCGCTCTTGTTACCCAGGCTGGAGTGCAATGGCACCATCTCGGCTCACTGCAACCTCTGCCTCCTGGGTTCAAGCAATTCTCCTGCCTCAGCCTCCCGAGTAGCTGGGACTACAGACACGCGCCACCATGCCCAGCTAATTTTTGTATTTTTAGTAGAGACGGGGTTTCACCTTGTTGACGAGGATGGTCTGGATCTCTTGACCTCGTGATCCACCCGCCTTGGCCTCCCAAAGTGCTGGGATTATAGGCATGAGCCACCAAGCCCGGCCGGTACCATGGTTTTAAAAAAAATTTCTTGGCACGGTGGCTCATGTCTGTAATTCTAGCTCTTTGGGAGGCCAAGAAGAGTGCATCACTTGAGGTCAAGAGTTCAAGACCAGTCTGGTCAACATGGTGAAACCCCGTCTTCACTAAAAATACAAAAAGTAGCCTGGTGTAGTGGCAGGTGCCTGAAATCCCAGCTACTCAGGAAGCTGAGGCACAAGAATTGCTTGAACCTGGAAGGTGGAGGTTACAGTTAGTTGAGATTACACCGCTGTATTCCAGCCTGGATAACAGATGGAGACTCTATCTCAAAAAAAATTGTATTTTGATTTTAACATTATTTTGCTTATATAAATGCTACTGAAATCTGACCCGTGTGTTATACCAGGTATGTTTGCTTTCTTGCACACCTTTTTGCTCTTCCTCGAAGTTAATTATCTACTCTATTAGTTTCTTGGGCTGTGGTAACAAATTACCACAAACTGGGTAAACAAATAAGGAAATTTATTCTTACTGGTCCTGTAGATTAGAAGTCTGAAATGAAGGTGTTGGCAGGACCATGCCCCTTGATGAAGGGAAGAATCCTTCTTTTGGTCTTTCAGCTTCTGGTGGTTTCCAGCAATCCCTGGCCACCTTCAGCTTGTGGCAGCGGAGCTCCCATCGCTCCTTCATCTTTCTTTAGCTTTCTCTCCTGTGTCTTTGTGTCTCCAAGGCTTTCTCTCCTTGTAAGGACACCAGTCAGTGCATTTAGGAGCCACCACACACACATTTTTCTCAGTGTTGCCATTGGTAAGCGTCACATCTTCTCTTAATAAAGATACAAATTCTGGCATGCTTTTCTTTTTTTTCCAGTGTCCCTTAACCCCCCCTCCCATGTTTAGATCATCTGAAAATTTTGGAGATACTTATTAAGTTTTAAAAACAACTAACAGTGATTTAACTACATATGTTATTTTATTCTTTAATTTTTTTAGAAATGGGTTCTTGTTAAGTTGCTTAGGCTGGTCTCGAACTCTTTGCCTCAACGGATCCTCCCACCGCAGTCTCTCAAGTCTCCTGAATTATGGGCATGAACCTGTCTTTAAAAAAAACTACATATTTTAATAGTTCTCTGATCCACACTTTTATAGTATACCGTATTTTTTTCTTATGACTTATATTTAGTTGGCATACATCCTCTGCTAATTGTTTCCAGAGTAACATCCCAAATGTCTTTATTTCGGTCCTCAACCTAAGAAACAGTTTTTATATATTAAGGATTCTAGGTAGAAAATAATTTTCCCTCATAACTTTGAAGATAACTCTCCAGTGTTTTCCTAACATTCAATGTTGCTGATGATCAGAAGAGATGGTTCCCTTGACTCCCTTCGTGGGCAGGAATTGGCGTGGCTTGTTTCACTCAGCCTGCTGCTGGCCACTTTTTGCGAGAGAGAGCGCAAGTGAGTGTGGGAACCAGAGGGAATGCACACTGGAACTGTCTGGTCACTCCTCTCTGGCGAGAGGTTCTGTGCAGGCCCCACAGCAGCATCCAACCCCCTTCCCTCTTGGAACCCGGGTTCTTGTCTGGTGTCCAGGAAGAATCAGGTCACATGAACAGATCGAAGGGTAGTGTATGCGGAGGATTTTTTTTTTATTGCATTTTAGGTTTTGGGGTACATGTGCAGAACATGCAAGATAGTTGCATAGGTACACATGTGGCAGTGTGATTTGCTGCCTTCCTCCCCTTCACCCACATCTGGCATTTCTCCCCATGCTATCCCTCCCCAGCATCCCCCCACCCCGCTGTCCCTCCCCTATTCCCCCCAGGATTTTATTAGACGATGAAAATGGCTCTCAGATGGGAAGCAGGATGGGGAGTTGGAAATGGAATGGTGTGGGAGGAAGATGAACTTTCCCGGAAGCTGCACTGTCTGAAGTTAGCCGCATCTGTGGTCTCTGATACTCAGCTCCTTCTCTGCTCGCCACTCAGCCACTTGTATCCCTGCTGCTCAGCCGCTTGTGTTGTTCTGCCAGCTGAAGGCTTTTTATGGGCACAGGATTGGGGTGTGCCGTGCCAAAAAGGCAACATTTGGGCAGAAAAACGAGGTCGGCTGCTTTCACTTAGGGCCAAGTTCCAAGCGTAAGGGTGAGGTTTTTAGCCAGGACCCCAGCCCTTCTGTATCAGTGAGATACCATGGCAATTCAGTCTTAGTCGTTTGTCTATTATTTATTTATTTAACCCTGGAAGTGTTTATTTTTGGTCTTCTGAAAGTCTCATGGTAGATGTATATGTGTGATGGTTAATTTTATACGTTGACTTGATTGGGCCACATCTCTCGGCTATGTGGTCAAACATTATTCTGGATGTTTTAGGGTGTTTTTAGATGAGATTAGCATTCAAATTAGTGAACTTGAAAGCAGATTTCACTCTATAATGTGAGAGGGCCTCATCCAATCACTTGGAGGTCTAGGTAGAACAAAAGTATGACTTTCCCCGAGCAGGAGGGAATTCTGCAGCAGATGGCCTTTGGGTTTGATCTGCAACAGTGGCTTTTCCTCGGCCTCCATCCTGCTGCCTCCCTGCCCCCGAAGATCTTGAGACTTGTCAGCCTCCATAATCATCTTAGCCAATCCCTGAAAATAAATCTCTTTCTGTACATGCACACATCCTGTTGGTTCTGTCTCTCTGGAGAACACTGACTAATACAACACGTATATGCATACATATATTTTTTCTTTTCATCTTGTCAAACAGTTGGTGAGCCTCTTTAATCTGATCAGTCTCTTTCATTCATGGAAAATCTACTTTGATACTTTTGGTTTTCCCTTCCCTCCATTCTCTGTTCTTGTCTCCTAGAAATCCAATTAGACAGAAGGACAAATATCTAGATGTCTTCAGGTCTTTTTGTTTTTGTTCTTTCTGTCTATCTTAGATAGATGGGTTACCCAGAAACAGACTCTCAAATGGACACTTGAATGCAGCCAGTGGAGAGAAAAGTCAGGTAGGTGGTAGAGGGAGAAGTTGACCTGAGACACAATTGCAACAAAGACCTCAGCTGACCCTGCTGGGAACTTTGGGCTTGGGCTGACACTTCAGATTGTGCTAAATCCAAGT